GTCATAACCTAGTATACAGAGGCATATATATCCTGTATTCATTACTTAGTGATATATGAACACCTACATATGTTGAGTGGCTTGTACGGATGGGGTGGAGTATTTATTGCATAAAAAGGGGGAAATATTTCAGGGTAATACAGCCCAGTGGAATGTGTGAAATCAGTACCTCTAGGGAACATGTGCCAGTCACCAGGACCTTTGGGGAAACAGACAAAATAAGGAGGAAAGACCAGAGAATGTTTGCATTCTTGTTAGCAAGGAAATGAGGTAAGCCAAGAATTCACTTGGGATTTAATCAAACTGCAGAGAAAGTCCATACGTGCCAAACTGTACCTTTTCTGGTTGTCTGGGTATTGAGGCCATACTTTATGAAAAAGCTATTATTATGAAACAAAACGAAAAGCTTACTCAGATAAAATGATACCTGAATGAATGCTAATTTACAGGTGAAGCCCAACCGTGGTCTAGCCAGCTCTATTTTGGGGGGGATGGTCTGGAGAGAAATGTTGGAAAGTTTTGTGCCACAGACCAAAGGTTAGGACTTGGAGAAAAAGACCTGGAGTTACGTATGCAAGAGTTAATTTAAGCCTGCATGCAACAGAACGTCTAGGTGTGACGCTTCTCTGTTGTTTCTCTGACTTTGGTCAGTTGCAGACCCATGTTGCCTTGCCTAATTTAAACATACACCACTTGATCCTTACTGGAAGCAACATTGGGTGAAGTGGATGCCCATCCTCCCAGTGCCCTATGTGAGCTGGTGTGGGATTGAAGCAATTGCAGCAGCACAGTGTCCTACCTAGGGTGTGTGCGTGTGCATGTGAGTGTGAGTGTGTCTGAGTAAAGTTTCCTATAAATCTAACTTATTTTCCCATAAACTGGAGACTGAAGAAAAAAAAAAAGAATACAACCTCAGAATACTTGTTCTTATGCTAATATGATGGGACAGTATAATTTGGAGCTGAATCATGAACACAGTTTATGCAATTATTAACCTACAGAATGAACCCCTGCTTATGAATTACATGTGACTTCCCCCAGGAAACCTTCTTTAATGCTCTCATCCACCTTTCCCCATCTTTGAATATTGACTTATCTGCCCCTTTCTCCTATTGTCAAAATATTCTGTACATGCCTCTGTTATTGTACTGTCCAGATAATAACTGGCTTGCCTTTTCAACTAGACTGTAAGTTACTTAAAATCATTTGCATTTCATAACACTAAACATACTGAACACATAGTAGGTGTGTTAGTCCATTTTCACACTGCTGATAAAGACATACCCGAGACTGGGCAATTTACAAAAGAAAGAGGTTTAATGGACTTACAGTTCTACAAGGCTGGCAAGGCTTCACAATCATGGCAGAAAGCAAGGAGGAGCAAGTCACTTCTTGCATGGATGGCAGGAGGCAAAGAGAGAGAAGCTGTGCAGGGGAACTCCTCTTTATGAAACTGTCAGATCTCGTGAGACTTATTCACCATCATGAGACCAGCACAAGAAAGACTTGCCCCCATGATTCAATTTCCTCCCACGGGGTCCCTCCCACAACACGTGGGAATTCAAGATGAGATTTGGGTGAGGACACAGCCAAACCATATTGGTAGGTGTTCAAATAATGTTGAATGAATGGATGTTTACAAATAAATCCTTCTGGGCCTCAAAGGAAAAGCTTGTTGTGTCCACTGCCTCCAAGATCATTATTTCCTAAATGGATGTAAAGGGGCTATTTCAAAGCTGAGGTGAAAAAGAAAAGAAAATCCTATTTATCAAATTGGAATATATTTCGAGTTGATGAATGGTAGAAAATAGGCTATCCAAGGAGTGACTGAGTATAGAATTCTGCTAATTTTAAGTGCTGTGGACTTAGAATCTGGGCTCATTGGTGTGTAATTAAACTCTCAAGGAAAGGCTTGGCATGACCACGATTCAGGCAAGGCAGGACAGATAATCCATATGGTCTTAAACAAAGCAGGAGCCCAGGGGGTAGCAGGTATGCCTGGGTTCAAATCCTGACATCACCACTTAATAATAGGAATAATAAGAGCAATTTTCCATGGCATTTTAAATGTCCAAAAGGATAATGCATATACATAGTATTAATTTCTCTTTCTCTGTGTCTCAGAAGGTGGTTTGGATTGTGTCAGGTGCTCTGAGTGCTGCCCAAATTCTCCTTCTCTGTTCCACCAAGTTCCTATTCTGCAAAGCAGACCCTGTAAGAACTTTCAGGGAGCCTCACTAGTCCTTCAATACCAGCCACATCGTCACAATGAATGCATTTCCATTTCTCCTTCAACATGTAACACATACACTTCTTAAATGTTCCCCCATGTCCCAATCAATAGAAATTGAATCTCAAATAATACACTGAAGGAAGCTCCCTATTTAGAAAACTGGGATGCTTTTCCTCTGACTTTGATCAACACCACTCTTTCAGGCTTGCTGGTTAGCCTCTCTAAAACCAGCCCTACTCCAGGGAAGGGGAAGATAGATCTCACTGCAGAGGTACAGCTGCATCTTTGAACTGGCTTGTCATTGCCGAGATTGCGGCAACAACTCCTCAGGATTGAAAGATGCACAATTTGAATATTGGAACTTGAGGCCAAAATCTATTGCTGGTAATGTTGCTTTACATCTTTACTATGTATTAGTATAGATTTTCAAAAGAAACTATAAGTACAGCAATGGTAGTAAAGCAGAATTTGCTATAACTTTCCAATTGCTGCTAGTTTCAATAGCCAGTTCACAACAACCTTCTTTATTTTTTAGGGTTGTTTTATTTGAGCCTCTTTTTATCTGCTTGTCAGATAGACATGGATAGACACCTGTAAATCAGTTAGCTTCATCTATATTAGACTTTTTTGCATGTAAATGATCACATTAAGGTGAATGGAAATGTATCTCACCACAACTTTTCAGAGGCATAAATTTAATTTTTTAAAAAATTTATATACATGTGGGTTTGGGAATACCTCTGCTCTTATTCTGGTTTTGCCTGTCGGAAGATCAATGATGCATCAAAGATCACCACAAGTATTTATAAAGTAAGCAAATAGAATCCATTAGGTTTTATACCACTGCTTTTTAAAAGTATAGTTTCTCAATATCAGTTTAAATTGGATTTTGATTTAATAACTCATCGAGGATTGGATACAATTTCAATTGAGTAATGCTAATAGGGACAGAAGTTGGAGTCTGGCCAACATAATGTGAGTGCCAAGGGACCACACCTAATTATTGTGACCCAGCCTGCGATGTGACACCTTGTCTTCTGAAACCAGCTGAAGTGAGGGGAAGCATGCCAGGGAGAGGGCATGCCAGTTTGCCCTTACATGCCCTAAACTTACTGCCTAGGTTGATTAGCGGAAAGAACATGGGCTTTGTCGACAAACCTCAGATTGAATTCTGGCTGTTGCACTTGTAACCTTGAGGCCTTGAGCATATTACTTAACCTCTCTGAGTCTCAGTATCCTTTCCCATAAAACAAGGATTATACCTCCCCTGCAGTGCTGTTTGTAAAGATGAAATGAAATACAATAACTCATGTCTGATCACTAGGCCAGCACACAGTGGCTCCTCCAGAACTATTTGTTCCTTTGCTTCTTTCTCTTTCTGAGTAGGTCAGATTAATGCAGAGCATTGTTTTTAGCAAGTTATTGAAAATGGCTTCTCCTATATAATGATGCTGAGATTCACTAGGTCTTTAATACTGTGAACAGGGATACTCGTGAAAGTTACAGACAGGGTATGTGAATTAGAGCATTATTGTTTCTTAAAATAATCTTCTCATTCTTCTTCCTTTTAGACAAGAAAAAGAAAATTACCCAATAGAATAAAAATGTATTCTGATTTCCCTGTCTCTCCTTTAATTTTATTTATTTGTTCATTTCTTTCATGTCAAATTATTTATTTATTTATTTTCGGCAGACTAGGGAACTTGAATCAGAGCTTTAGAGAACACAGCAAATTGCTGTCTTCATTCTCCATCCTGGGCCAATCTGATAGTTTCCTCAAGGCAGATCTCCTTTGTGATGGTCTCCTGTAAATCAAGCACAGGGATGCAGTTGCATCGGTCAGCATGTAAAATAACATGCTGTCCGCATAGAACGCGATGTGCAAAGTACCAGTGTAACTTGACATCCATGCCCCTTTAACACCTGTTTCCATAGCTACACTGTAATCCAGACATTTGAGAGGCAGGCTTGCCTCTGCCAGGCCTGTCATTTCAGGGAAATAAATTAAGAAAGCTGATGACAAGGCCTGGATTATACAATTTCTTTAAAGTACAAAGCAGACCTGAAATCTAACCAGGAACCAACAGAGTTCAGATAAAATGGATAAAATCCATTTCCGGTAACCTTTGTAAGAAAATTTGAATGCAGCCTCCTTTATACATTTTGTTCCCTGACTCCCAGAAGCAGCATCATATGTTACACCTGGCAGCCGTATTTGTGGCACCATATTTTTCTTATTTTTAAGCAGTGATACCATATTTTTTAAAACGAAAGTTTGGAAAAAATAAACAGATGGGAAGATAGTGGTGGCGGGGGGACGCGGTGCAAAGAGAAAAAGAGAGAAAGATGGAGTTAGGCAAGTGCTAAAGGGCAGAGCGTCAGTACCAGACACTGAGATATTTGCATATTCACAATATGTTTCTGGCCCAGAGCACGTTTTTCTGGCGTTCTGTATATATTTCTAGGTCTCTATATTTATCCATGTCTCTGGCTACATATGTAAGACTAACTTTAGAGGTGGTGTGTTTGCTGGATGCTTTGCAGTGGTACTTGAAGAATTTCATGTTAAATATGCACTGGCAGCAGGAATGAGCTGCTCTCACATAGGAAGGGAAATAGGAGGGAGGTGGGGACCCCAGCCATGGTTCTGCAGTGTGGCGGCCAGCTGGAGACAGGGCCTTTCAACACTATTTTCATCAAGTGGTTCTGAGCCAGTTCATTTATTTTTGGATTCTCCTTAATTCAAAATGAAAGCAGGTGATACTAAAATCAGACTACGCTGCATGAGAACAACTAACCTCCTCTAAAAGACCCTCACCACGCTATTTTTTACCTCGTGGAATCCAGGTAATGCTTGCTTGCTTGAGTGCATTTATCTCCTTATTTAGTATGCAAGGGAGAAGGTTGTTTTGGAAGCAAAGAAGGTAAGGAGAGACTGATTTTGAAGAAGAGGTTATTACAAGGATATGTAGTCTCCCAGGGACATGGCACTCGCCATTATAGGAATGTTCTCGTCACTAGTTGTTTTATTTTAATGTTCTTTTCTTCATGTTCACAGCCTTCCCAGGTAAAACTGATCACTCAGCCTGATTATTATTTTTGGACCATCGGTAAAATTTACTTTTGACTCAATATATTAAAAACTTGTTGGATCATGTACAATATTAAACACTGCCATTTAGTGATGTTCTAAATTTAGTATTTTATTTAAAATCACTTTACAAGAGAAAATTTGCCAGTGGGTTTGCTCTGATTAGGTGAATCTCTTTTCTATATTGAAAAACAAAAGATAAAATTTATGAAGTAAAATTATTAGGCTGGTGCAAAAGCAATTGTGGTTTTTGACATTAAAAGTAATGGCAATTTAGTTTTGGAAACTAACACATGAAAACTGAAAAAAACCACGTATTATTAACTTGAGGTGATGTGTGTATATGCATACACACGCACACACATATATATAGTATATACACACGTTTAGTTTTTTTTCATAATAAAGTTTTATTAACCTTAATACGAACAAAAGCAATGAACTTTAAGTTAATATAATGGAGGTAATATCTTGAAATGTTTCATTGTGCTTTAGTCCTTTACTTTTGCAGTTATAAGCTCTTAATTCATTCCACTCAAAGCATCCGTCTGCACAGGGACTGTGGATAGAACATGATGGATGATATTCAACATGCAACCTACAACTATGCAGTCAGGAAAAAAACCTGTAAGATAGGCTATTGACCTGAAAGAGGACTTTCTATTCCAGTCTAGAGAAGCTACTTCTTTAGCTCCTGATGTCGTTGACAGGCTTACCTGCCTTAGGTAGTACATTTTGATATAGTGGAGGTGAATAATGTGATCCCCCTTCCAGACTCAGGAGAAGAAAGAAAGAAGAAAGAAGTGAAGATAAGTGAGTTCCGAGTTTCATCTTTTCTGGATTTCCTCCAACCTTATCTTGTAGGCTGTACCATACATTCTGAATCTGAGATGCCACCATATCAAAGTCTCATGGTGGCAGAGAATGTGCTGAGGGTCCCCAAGACCACTTCCAGGTTCAGCGATTTGCTAGAAGGACTTGCAGGGTTCAGCTTGTGGTTGTACTCATGGTTATGGTTTATTACAGTGAGAAGATACAAAGTAAAATCAGCAAAGGGAAAAAGGGCCTGGAACAAAGTTTGGTGGAACCAGACCCAAGCTTCCAAGAGTCCTCTCTTGGTGAACTCTCATTGGATGTACTTGATTCTCCTGGCAAGCAGGTGTGACAACACGTGTAAAATGTTGTTTACCAGTAAGCTCATTAGAAACTCAGTGCCCAGAGTTTTTACTGGGAGCTGGTCATGAAGGTAGCCTCTTCCTGGCAGGTGCCAAATTCCAGGCTCCCAGAAGGAAAACAGGTCTTCAGCAAAAACCACATTGTTTGCACAAATAATTGAGAGACAGTGATCCATTCTTATTAGTTAATATGGCAGGAATCCTCCCAAAATCCAAGTCCCAGACACTAGCCATGGGATAACCTCATAAGCAGGCCCAAGGATGGCAGTCTCAGGCTTGCTGTGACTCTTTTCTGCATAGAGGGTAATCAGGCAGACAGGCTCTGGGATAGGCTTTCCTGGCAGCCTTCAGTTCTTAAGTGGCACGAGTGCTGTATTAAATGATCATGGGACTGCTGTGGAGTCTGCTGTGCAATGGGATTGATTGTGCAAGACAGGCTGGGATGGGTGGGGATCACTGGTCCAGGTGGACAACTCAGCAGTTAGAATCTGCAGCCAGCAGGAGTAAAGGGGGCCAAGTTGTCCAGGAATACCATCCAGAACCTTTCCCAAGGAGAAAGGAGGTATAAGTTCATTAGCCACAGATGACAGCACCAATAGGAGGCACGATGACCAGAACAAAAAGGGGTATCCCTTTGGATATTTGGTAAATATACAAAGACTAGAACAAGCTCAGGGGCCCCTTTCTGTCAACATCAAAGGAACACATAAGGTGTTCTTCTATTTCTATGCACTCAGATGCTCTCTTTGGAAGACTAATAGAGGAGAGGGGCATGGCTGAACATTACCTAGTGGACTGTTTAGGTTATAGATCATTGCTTTAAGCTAAAATGCGTACTCAATATGTTTTTTTCTCCTACTCACCAGTGTACAGTCATTTGGGGGAACAAATCCAGATTAGAGACTGAATAAAGAAATCGCATTTCCCCCCAAATCTGCTTTGTAATGTGACTTAAACTCTGTGCCTTTACTGTACTAGTAATTTTTATTTAATTTGTGAGAAAGGGTACTAAAGATATTTTACATTTCACTATCCTAAAGTCCTTTCCCCTTTTAGATAGCTGCCAAAACTGAGGACATCTTGCCACTAGGTGATGGTACTTTCCAATGTGCTTTAAATTCCAAGTACCAGATACATCCAAATATAAAGGTCTTTTAGAGCCACTACGTGATAGTCTTCAAAAATGGCTGCCCACAGTCCTATACCTCTCTTACCCCCCGCTAAGGTAAGGCATCCTGATTCATCTAGTTCTCCTTCCTTGAAAACTGGGTTGGCCCTTGTGATTTGCTTTGATTGATAGAATGCAGCAGGAATTCATTGTGTACCAGTCCTGAGCCATCTTTTTGAAGCCTGAGAGCTTCCTCTTTTTCTCTTGGAAAGTCTGCTGCCATGTAAGAAATCCAACCACCCCTGAGACCACCGGGCTGTGACTATGTCCAGTCATATATTTGGCAAGGCCATGGGGAGGAGTACTGTGAAGCCCTGCCAACAGGAAGAAGTGAGGCCCCAGCCCTGTGACCCCAGCAGAGCTGTCCACCAGATTCCCAGCCATTTGCGTCATCCCAGCTAAGACTCCAGCTTTCATGGAGCAGAGACACTCTTGCTATGCAAATTCCTGCTCTATAGATTCACAAGCAAATGTTATTTGGCTGTTATTTTAAATCATTAAGTTTGGGGGTAGTTTGTTATGCAGCAATAGATAACTGAAACAAAGAAATTAACATTTTATTTGCCGATAAAACTAAAAAGGTAATCTTCTAAAAAAACAAACACAAATGTTCTTTATCACCTATATAAAAAGTTTTAACTTATGCTTTTGGAGCCAAATTATCCTTTAAATAGCCTAACGTTACCAAATCTTTAAGTTGTTTTCACATTAAAACGTCATAGGGCTTTTGACAGTACAGAGCAGGGAACGTTAAAATTTAGTATCTGTTTTTTTCAAGTAGGAAGTAGAAAATTTAGCATTAATTCTGTTACTCAGAAATTATTAACTATGTTAACTGCTTTGGTTAATTGGTTACTGATTTTTGCCTAAGAAAATATTTTTTACTTTTCGTTATACAATTTTTAAAAAATATACAAAGATAGGAAATTAGTATAAGGAATCCTCTCATCACGAACCCTTCAGTCAACTTCAATGATCAATATTCTGTCATTCTTCTGAGAAATCAATCTTATGATCATCCTTTTCACATAGATTGCCTCCTAGGCACTTTTGTCTGAACCACATGGCACAAATTGGCAGAGAACAAGGAAAAGAAGAGAGGAAGGAGGAGAAAAGGAGAAAAGTCATTCCATTGAAAACTTAAGAATCTCTTTTTTCATTCTCTTTAATCGGAAGACTTATTTCTCCACTTAGCACTCTAGTTAGTGAATCAAGGAATATTGACTCCAAAACTGAAATAAAGTGATTAGCCTCACTAAATCCCTAGCAATAACTGCAGTTCAGACTTTAATAAGTGCCTCTGATATAAACACTTCCAGAAATTATTTCTCAAAGGGCATCCACTTGCAGAAAGGTTTAAACAAAATTTAAACAAGATTTTGAACATAGATTTACAATAGTTTCATGACAAAAGCTATGGTTTAAAATGTTTTAGGAGTTGCTGTGGGTTTTCGACTGAGGACATAGTGTGTTATACATTAGCTGTTAAATGTGTTCAGTTGTTGAATCCAAAATTGCTTGGAAGGTTTAAACGTTGGCAGCCTTGAAAACAAACACTAGTCCGTGTTCCCAGCGCCTAAATGAAATCAAAGCAAACCTAATCATTTTCTTTCATATGACTAATAAAGATGTGAAAAAACAAGCTTCGGTTTTACATTTGAGCAGTAATCTTCTTAATTACACCTGGGTTACAAAATGCAAGGCTATGGTTCTTCTCCATAGTTGTAAAATAAAAGCTGAACGTTTATGTATTCCTTCTTCTGCATCATGAGACCAGGGTGGGCCTCATAAGAAGGCGGCAATGGGCCGATAGGAAATTTAATAGAGACCCTCTTTCTCTTTCTTTATTTGTTGGGGGTGGGCGGGAGGAGGTGGAAATCTTTGTCAGAGTTGTATTTGTCTTGGGGTCAGCGTGTTCTCTCTCAGTCTGTGAATATGTGGTGGGACAAAATGAAAGTGTAGATTAGATAAATATAAGAAGGTAAAATAGGAATTTGCTGATAGAAGGCTGCTCAGCATTTTGGCAGGCCTAATGGTTTTGGAAAGTTTTTGTGAGGCTAAGTTGATTTTGTTTGCTTCTAAAACAATGTTAGGCCCTGAGTGCGAGCTGTAAGACACCTGCTTTTATAGGTATTTCCCATTGAGGTAAATTAATCGTATGTTTCTTTTTGAAGATTCTTTAAACATTTAATTCTCTTGGACACACAGAGAGCACCATGAAATATCAGCACACTTAGATGTCATAAGCTTCTTAATTATGGTTTGCAAAGAACATCGCCCGAAAAGAGGAATATCTGAATGAAAGTTTTTTTCTAGTGAGTCTTGTTGGTATATTGCTACATATACTTAGATTTTTTGTGCAATAGTCAATGTCTTAGTTGCTTTGTATGTGAAACAGAGATAATAAAACCTG